AGATGTAAGTATAAATACTTAAATTGCAGGTAAATGTTATTCTGTGAGTAAAACATGACAACTTTTGTTCTGTGCTTAACTCTCTGTCTAAATGCTTCCCTGCAAAGGTTTTCATACTCCATTTTTAGTTTCACTGTATTTTATGGGCATTTTATTTCATAGACCAACGTAAAATGTTGCATAATTGTAAAGTGGAAGAAGTTTTTACAAGTCAAATCTGAAAAGTGTGGCAAGAATTGATAGTTGGCACAGTCACATGAGACTCCTTATGGGTGTTTTTTTGCCATCCTTAAGTCAGATTTGTGAGGAAGATGATTGTTCATTGTGGCACTAGATTTTATATAGGGCTATTGGCAAAAATAATGCATAAATATAAATGCATGCAAACGCTTCAGATTTTCGCTTTTAATAGAGAATTTTGTAAATCATGCCATTTTCTCTCAACTTAATCTACTTTGTGTTCCGGAAATACAATTAATTCAGGTTTATGGCGTTAACTTGGAAAAATGTAAACACTTCAAATGGCATGTGTTCACTCAGTTTGTTTGGATGATATGATTGCAGGGAAACCAACAGCTGTGACGCCCGACTTTTTCCGCACTTTGACTTTGACCTGGCCCCACACACACACACCTGACTGTCACACCTGAAGAGTTTGGACCTGGTTACACATTACTCACACAACCTGACTCGCATAAAGATCACCAGCCAATTGCATCGCGTGGGTGTCATTAAAACGCTGTTTGAATGAAAAAGTCGAAGTGATTAAAAAGGAATAAACAAATTAACTGGTAGAATTTCTTTCCTTTAACTCGACGCTGTCAAACGTTTACTCTTTAATTTTGGTTTTTAACGCCGGCTGGAAACAGGTGGAGTTCCTGCAGTCATGCAAACATCCGACTGCACCTCACTGTGTTTGCCATCTTATCCCAGTGACGTTATTTGTTATTTATATACTTAGAAGTAAAGCTGTCTAATAAATGTATTGGGTGTGGTCTGGATAGGGTGAGCAGTATCCCAGCTTGATGTGTCATGCTGCCAAACAAGGAAGTGGTTTTATTGGTATGCTGTGGTCTTTAGCTGGGAGATGAGGGACTAAAACCTTCCTTTGTGCTCCAGATTTTCCACCAGATCTGAATTATGCCATGGAGTGTCTCTGAGTAAAACATTGGCTCACATTTGTCATGGCGAAAATGTATTCAACTTATTTAAATAAATGAAATGTACATGATTGAACTTGTAAATGCACGTATGGCAAATGTTTAAGTTAAATACAGATGTTTGGTTTTTTTTATTTAGTTTTATTAACATTTTCTTGGTAGATATCAGAACATTAACTTTATGTTCTCCTACCCCACTCACACAAACGCACGCACACACACGCATAACAAAATAAAGCAATATATAACCGGTAAAAGTTATATGTATAACCAAGAAAACGTTCTTTACAGAGACGTATTGTTTCCCATTAAATACTCTGGAACTTGACACACACAATTGAACCAAATATATATATATTTTACAGCTTAGAAAATGACAAATAACCTTCTCCAGTCTGGTAAAGGACTCTAACTTTTGCAAGCTACATTTATGCATTTAAAGTCAGGTGTTTACATACTGTAAATTACCTTTTGTATTTGGTAGATCTGTCTTTTAAACTGACTTGGGTCTCCCATTTTTGGGCCTCCTCTCCCTGAATTTCACTGGATTCATTTCACATTTTATCATGACACACTTTTGTGTTTGGGGAGATATGCAAATTTCACACCAAAACATGTTCATCTCTGGGAGACGGATCCGGGTCGTTCCTGAATGGTGCGATCGCTGGACATTTCGATAATAGGATTTTTGTTTGACCAGATGATTGTGGCAAATTCTGGCATTTGGATTGTAAAAAAAAAAAACTTTGAAATCCTAACTTATGGAAAGTTTGAACTGAATTATTACCAAACAGTGTTGGAAGAAAGGTTATTTTTATACTGCGTTTGTAAGTATCTGGTTTACCTGGAAGTAGGTGTCGCACATGGAGGTTAATTTGACTTCTAAACAGCAGTTCAGAGGAAGTTGATCAACCATGTTGGTTAATTCCTGGAACATCTTCAACCTGATCATGTCCATGTGGTTTAAAGACTCTCCCTGCCACGCATTGTTGGAATTTTTTACAGCCTAAAACTGAATTAAAAAAAAAGATTTGAAACTGGAAAACAGTTTTTGAAACTGGAAAAAGATTTGAAATGGAGGGGGAAAATACATTTCCAACTCCCATTGGTTCTTAACGCAACAGCTGGGAATATTTTGTCCATGTCATGTGGAATGAGCCGTCAGTAAGTTTTTTTTTTTTTTTTTTTTTTTTTAAACTGAAAAAAAAAATCCCTCAAATTTGGAAAGATGTTTTGACCTTTTATTGTTGTTGTTGTTTCAAATCTCTTTCCAGTTTCAGTCTCAAAATTACTTTTCAGTTTCAAATCATTTTTCAGCTTTAAGTGTTTTTTTTTCTTAAACAGATTTTTGGCCCCAATTTAGCTCTATAAGCTTTTGTTGTATGTAATTGTTGAATTAAAGGTTAACAGTAAAGTTTGAAAGTGGTATGTTTTGACCTAGAAGGAGACTGGACTTAAGAAGCATCCGACACTGACCTCTTCGTTGCACGTCTAGTTTTGATTCGTGACATGAAGAATAACTACACTGGATGCTGCAGTGCAGCCAACACTGACAGCTCAGTAAACAGAAAATCTACTTTTTACCATCTCCTTCCATTTAGTACAGTGTTTTCACAACTAAATGGTACAACATAGGCAAATATAAAGAATAATGTTGTTAATCAGCTGGCTATTAGTTTAATAGTCTCATTTACTGTGTCTATAAACTTGTCTGACAAGCTAAAACAAATCAGTAAACTGATGCAAAGTGAAGTTATTTGTATATAACATTGGTTAAATGTGTCATAAGTGTATTTATGAAAAGCCAAACTATTTCTACTTTGTTTTTATTCTTGCATGCTGCAGCACTTTATCTTTATCCATTATCTTGCCCATCAAAGTTACTGGACAATGTGTATTGAGTGTTCTTGTCAATATAACTAATCAGACGTTGACTTGCTGTGTAGATTAACCAATCAGATGTTAGCGTTGGTTTAAAGAGTCTCGCTGATTATTTTATTTTGCGAGTTTTGGAACAGGAATCATTTAATACTTACATTCAGAAATAATTGTATTTATATATGATGGATTTCACATTTAAATATTTGGATATGTATTTACTATTACTCTAACATTAAAATGGGTATAAATATAGTTATTCAGACATTTTTTGTTTTCCGGTATTATTTTGATAATGCCACAAGTAAAAAAAAAAAAGTTATTAATTATATAGTGACAATTTAAGAGCTAGATATATCTTTGTTTTTGTCTGTTTTGTTTTTTAAATTTGATTTCTCAGTAATTTGAACAAAAAAAATCTACTTGTGATTTGTTGAGTAGTAAATTATTATTTTAACTATCCAGTACTCTAATCTGACAGTATGTTTTTTTTTTTTTTTCTTCGTCTTATTCTTGGCAGCCATGAATGTTGTTCAATCATTTCCAAAATAAACCATCAGTTAAAATTTCAGGTTTATGGTTTTAATCTATTAACTTCCAGTTTTTTTTTTCCCAATTTAAAATGGTATCTTAAATCACAAAAAGACATTTTAGTTGTTTTTAAGCTAAAAGGCTCAACGATTATAAACAGCTTTATTTGTTTTCAAATGTTAGACTTGTGATCAAGATGATGAGGAGGTGGAGATCGCTGTGGACAACGCAGCCTTCATGGACGAGTTCTTCTCTCAGGTCAGGTTTTACGCTCTCGGTTGTTGTCGTGCAGGGACCTAACCTCTCTTACATATTTTTTAAAATTTTGTTAATTGTGACTCGTCTGTTTGCAGATTGAAGACATCAGGAACAGTATTGATAAAATTGACGAGAACGTGGCTGAAGTCAGAAAGCTTTACTCGGTCATCCTGTCGGCTCCCACGTCGGATCAGAGTGAGACATCTCACCTTTCACTGATTTACTGTATTTGTCTGCCCTGTTTTTTTTTTGTTTGTTTGTTTTTTTATACAAGCTGTTTGAACCTGGTTCACAAAAATAAGGTTACTGTAGTTTTTTTCCGATTTGTGGTTTTTGTTCTGAATTGAACTCTGTTACAATCTGAGCAGAAGGTGACAGAATATGGAATATTTCAGAAAATATCAAGCATTTTCATTTTCTCTGCATACATAATCTTTAAAAAAAAAAACTTCATTTCTATCTGAACAGCCCTGGTTTAAGACTAATTTTTTCTTCCCTTCAGAAACGCAGGATGACTTGGAATCAATCACCAATGACATAAAGAAGATGGCCAACAATGCAAGAAACAAACTCAAGAGTAAGTCTGGCAGTGACAATCGCACTTTCTCTCGTCACAATGAGTCAAACCTTTCCTGATTTTTATCCAAAATGTTGGATGACGTGTTTATGACGTGAATTTGAACGTTGCTTTTTTTTCCAGCCATTGAGAGAAATCTGGAGTCGGAGCAGCAGCAGGAGAGGGTGTCGGCTGATATGCGGATACGTAAATCGCAGGTAAATTGTGCACAGGATGAAGAATTTTCAGACTTAAAATAGTTACTTATAAAGCTTTTAAATAGGGCTTTTTAAATTCAAATTAAATTGTTTCATAGGGTTTAGTTTAGTCAAATATTCCAGCATATAAAGGTAGACTCCCACCCCCTGAAAAGTAAACAATGTGCAGCTGTTTCCAGGATGTTGAGAAAGGTTTGTGATCATAATTTGCATCTATTCTGTCCTCCCAGCATGCAGTGCTGTCCAGGAAGTTTGTTGAGGTCATGACAAAGTATAATGAAGCGCAGGTGGACTTCCGGGAGAGGAGTAAAGGACGTATCCAGAGACAACTTGAGATAAGTAAGTTACACCTAGATGTGCAGAAAAAAAAGTGTAGAATAATCCCATAATAATCTGTGTTTTTCACTTTGCTCTGTCCAGCTGGACAAGCGAAGACGGACGAAGAGCTGGAGGAGATGTTGGAAAGTGGAAATGCTGCCGTTTTCACTGCTGGGGTGAGTGTGTCTTGTGTGTAAATGAGCAATTATGGCCACTGTTTTAACACCTTTCTATTGTCATGTGATTAAACTGCAAATAAAATTGGTTTTGCAGTTTAAAAAAAAAAAAAGAAGCCAATTATTTGCTAATTTTTAGGTTTCTGATGTTTGGATAAAAGGAACTTTGTCTTTCTTGTTCAGATTCTAGAAAATATTTTCTACTCAAAATATGTTTATTTAAGAGATCATAATGCCGAGCTGGATGATGTTTTACATATTTAATAACCACATCGTAAAGATTCGAGAAAAGGAGTCATGCTGGTTTATGCCGTCTCAGCAAACAGATGAAACAGCGGTTTCTAGGGAGGCTTCTAGAAGGAAACGGAGTGACCGGGAACACCGAATCACGCAGCTTCGACTGCATGTGTCACTGATAAAATGAGAACATGTTGCACTTCAGCTTCTGTTCAAGCTTTTTGATAAAGAGGAGCTTGTTTTCGGCTCGACTGAGGAGGAATTTCTTGTTCAAGGACACAGAGTTCAGTTTAGGCTTCCCTGATGTGCAAAGACTGGGACAAACCACACCTAAATTATTACTATATCTTATTCCTATAATGTAAATGCACACCTGAGGTTCTCAGTAATTCATATGAAACTGTCAAACAATTGCAATAACAACAATAACTGGGAAATTACAGGAACTTTTTAGGATCTTAAAAAGCAACACAAGAACTGTTATGCTTATCAATTTAAAACATTTGGAAATTTATTTTGATATTGACATTCAAGAAAAAAAAAAAACTTGGATTCACACTTGATGACTAGATGTTGATGTTTTATTTGCTGTCTGTTTTGAGCCTGCGTGGTAACAGTGAACTGCTCGTCTTTGCAGATTGTGGACTCTGGGATCTCAAAACAGGCTCTGAGTGAGATTGAATCCAGGCATAAAGACATCGTCCGTCTGGAAAGTAGCATCAAAGAGCTGCACGACATGTTTGTAGACATCGCCATGCTGGTGGAGAGCCAGGTACTCTCCTCTGGATATCACCTTCTTGTCGTTTCATTCAAATCCATCCATCCGTTCTTTCAGCTCATCTTTACCGTGTCTTAGGAATCAGTCATGTCTGTCTCTGTGTTTTTCTCTTTCTTCCTCTGCTGTTCTATGACTGTCGTTCTGCATCCGTCTGTCTGTCTTTTTTCCAGCTCCATGCTTTTCTTACACCTGTCCTCCGCCACCACCGCCTTCATCTCATTCCCTCTATGGAACCTTAATAAATGTAGTAAGATATGAACCAAGCATCATTCACACCTATTTCATCACAGACAAGGTTTTAAGACATTTAGCAACTATCATAATTAAACTACTAGAGTATGACCAACTGTTTTGTGCTGCTTACACCGCCATGCTTTCTGAGGGAAATGCTTGTTTGAGGTAAGCACTCTTTGTGTTGCTTATGTTTTTTCCCCTTTTATTTATGTTCACTTTTGGAATTTGAAAAGATTTTGCTCTCAAATAAATAAATAGCCGACATTACCACTTGCTTCTAAAGGGATATGAACTTAAAATCCCCAATAAATACTTTGAATTACTTCAGTTTCAATTAAATTTCAAATAGTACTATGCAGTCCCCTTAATTTGATGTGTTTCCTTTAGAAAAAGCCATTTAAGGAAACCAGTAACCTGCATTGAGTCACTTGCTTTGCAGCAAACCGTCCCTCCTGAGCCAACATGTAGCGACGGAGGACGGTTGATTGCGTAACATCATTCATTTGGCATGCATGTGGTAACAGTGAAAATGAAAGACTCTTTAGATGCCATCACTACCACATTCAGATCCATCCACCTCAGTATTACTTCCTGATTTTTTTTTTCTATGCAGATTGGCAATCAGATGAGTAGGAATGTAGCTTATGAAACTGGTGTGTAATCACACTTTACAAAGTTAGAATGTTTTTTTTTTTCTAAAAGTAGCAGAGAGCATAATGCATAATAAATACAACAGTAATATTTATTTTGCTTGTATTTTATTGACATATTAATTCTTCTAAGCAGCACATGCAGAATTTGATCTTCATTACATTGAGCTTTTTTTGTCATCTAAATAAAAGACAAGGTTGTGAATTAACCTTGTCTCAATGACATGATGCACTTAGAAAATGTTTAATTACCACCTTTTGCTGCAAAAGGTGGTGATTTTACTTTTGGAAGCTCTCATTGTTTGCTATAAATTGAATTGGAAAAAAAAGAATTACCTGATTTCAATCTGCAGTGCATCACTAAAGATCCATCCAACGCATTAATTATACCTTTCAAGTTATAAGTAATCGTTTTCATAAAAGGAATAAATTCGTTGGAGTTAATGAGCTCGATCCGCCTCGCACTGAGGCAGTTATTTGTACGAGTATAATGAGTTTTACAGGCTTTTATCTGCCATGATGTCGGTTATTTTTAAATCCTGATGCTTCCTGCAGAAATTCAATCTTTAACAGAAATGTTTTTTTTTTTTGCTGTTCTCTTCACAACAGCAGTGTTTAAAAACTCTTTGCCTCTCTCTGTGCTTGTGCATGCACACACACATACCTGCTGCCAGTTTTGAGCAAGCTCTTCATCGGTGGCAACATGTTTTAGCTCGCTCTTGAAGAGGAGATGTTTCAAGTTTGAGATTAGACTGCTGGCGATTTCAGCTGTAGTCTTTCACATCTGTACTTGGGCATATGCAGCATGATCTTGCTTTACAGAACTCTAAAAACATTTTGATCTTTCATCACAAAAAAAGAACAAAAAAAAAGAACAAAAAAAAACTGAAGCCTCACAGTTTGCAAAACACAGACGTGTCAATGCCAAAACTTGTGACCACACGTTTGCTTGATAGATATTAAAATGCATGTTCCTGTGTTTTTTTGTTTTTGTTTTGTTTTTCTCAGGGGGAAATAGTAGACAACATAGAGCAGAATGTATCCCAGTCGGTGGATCACATTATTCAAGCGAAGGAGCAGACCAAAAAAGCTGTAAGGTACCAGACCAAGGCCCGCAAGGTAAAAAAGTGTTTTGCAATGTATCGCACAAATATGACCTCTTCCTGTTGCTGCTTCTTTTTTTTTTTTTTTTAAATTTCAGTCACTCTGGCACTTTTGCCCAGTTTAGCACATTTCATCCACTTTGCATGCCCTGCATATCGCTCTTCTAATCGCCTCACTGCCATTACTACTTACACACAACCGTTAGAATAATGTGTAAGCTCTCTGCATGCTTCCTCCTCTCTGCCGTCACTCGTTTCCGTCTGCTGCCGCCTCTGGCTGCGTGCCCGTCAGGGCGGGATGATTGACAGGATTGAGAGCAACATGGACCAGTCGGTGGGCTTTGTGGAGAGAGCTGTTGCAGATACTAAGAAAGCTGCCAAGTTCCAGCAAGAGGCTCGCCGTGTGAGTGGCTGTGGTCAAGAACTGCAACTCCGGCTTCCTAAAAGCACCCGAAACATTTGAGCTTATTAACGAGAGGCGTCGACTTGTTAAAAAACGTCAAATAAAAGCATTCGATCTCCACGAGCATCAAAGTAAAATAGTATATTTCAAATCTGCATCAAAACGTCATGGTAACCGGTTTCTGGCCCTCATATCTAGCAAACTTTACTGTCAGCAAGAAGATATTTTAAGTTTATAAGGTGTATTTTATGTTTATTTGCAAAACTAGAGATTGAATTAAAAGTGCACCCATTGCATGTGAAACATAAACTTTCCTTAATCAAGTTATCTTCATATTGAAATCGAGCTGCAGCTGCATAAAAATATTTTTGTCTAGTTTATTTATCAGTTTTTTCTTATAATAAAACTGCATTAGATTAGCATGCTGTTTATTTCAGTCGTATACCAACGTTAATGAGCAGCACAACTAAACCTAGAAGCTCTGACTGAAAAAATCAGTTTGATGTAGTTTAGTTTTACTAGTGTTGAACCTTTATTTCTTTTTAAATTAAACAGTTTTCTACAGTTGCTAAAATCGTACATCAATTTCCACAAATAAACTATTTTCCAAATTGTCAGCCATTTATTTCTGTTCATTAATAAAACAACTCATTTCAATCAGTAGAGGCATCTTAAAAAATAAGTGTATCGACTTTTCAAACACCAGTTAAATCTGATATGATTCCCAGACTAAAGCAAATATAGATGATTAAGAAATTAAGTTAGTACCACTAAACTACAAGAAACTACCTGTTGACTAAATGAACACCTCAGTGCTTTTGGGAAGCCACATTAATTTCATGAGTGAGATCTGTGACGACCCCTGACCCTCCTCTGTGATTTATTACCAACTCTGTGGATCCCTGTGATAAAACTGCTGCTGTGACCCGTCCTCCACCCATGACCAGAACCAAGACGATCCTCCTCCCACCCACTGAAACACACACTGCCACTCACACACACACTGCTTGGTTTATCTTTTCTCTTTTTCCCGCCTTTTCGTTTTTAACCTTGCTGATGTTTTTGAATGTGACTAAAGTGCTTGTCTGTTGATGCTGAAGATATTGTTTGCTTTTACCAGCACAAGCATTCGTGTAGGTGAAAATAACTGTACAGATTTTTTTTTTTCGCAACGTCCAGCTACGTGGCGATTTGTCTGCTTTTTTTTTTGTTTGTTTTTAAGTAATTTTCCAACTGAGATTTGGATCTGATCAGAATGTGTGTACTTGGTTATTCCCAACAGAAAACTGTGATTATAGTGGTTGTTGTGGTGATCTTACTGGCATTGCTAGCTCTCATAATTGGGCTGGCAGTGGGATTGAAAAAATGAGGAACTGTTTGACTAAAAGAAGAGATGTTGGTGAGTAATTTTGGAGAAAATCTTCAGTGTAGTGCTGTAACAAGTGGGAATGAAGCATGCTTTGGCAAAGCGGTTTCTTTTAGACTTGAATGAGTGTGTTTTCCGTCTGTCCTGGGAGCTCATTTGTTGTGTGTGTGTGTGTGTGTGTGTGTGTGTGTGTGTGTGTGTTGGCATTTCTGGACTCTGTCAAATAACTTGGTGTTAGTGGTGAGTTGGTTTGATCTGCGGGGGATTTAAACGCTCCTGCTCTCTGTCACTAACTCTCCCGTCGTCGTGTCTCTGTCTCTCCCCTTCTGTAGAAGATGATCTTCATCGGTGTGTGCTGTGCTGTGGTTGTAGTCGTCATCCTCATTATCATCCTCACTCAGACACTATGATAGGACCGCCGGACCCCTACCATCGCCGTCATGTGTTTTCTTCACCCAGATCGTCCATTTTGTTTCATCATCTGCTCAAAAAAACAGCTGATGCAAATTCCTGTGTATGGATCAGTGCTGCTGGTGTTTAAAAAAAAAAAGGGGAAGATGATCTTTTGCGACTTCTTCAGTTCCGGACAATCTACGGATGCTCTGATGAGGAAATGAGAACTGAAATGCGGCTCAGTACCTGCTTACACCTCTGTGGAAGCAACAAAAAGGGAACTGGGAAAATAACTGACTGTTTCCTCATCACTCCTCCATCTCCGAACAACTCATTGTTTTTAACATTTGATGCCAAAATGGCACCCCTGTGTGTGTTTGTCCTAAGCTCTTCTTTAAACCATGCAGGAGCAAACACACACACGCACATACAAACCCCAGATCCACTCTTCTTGCCTTAATGAGCCTTGACACATATTACTACTTTAAAAGCTACTGAATGTTTGCTCCTCCAGGTTATGGTTGTTTTAAGAGAGTTCCAGCACTTTCACTGTTAAAAATATTGAATTAAGCTACGGTTTACGTAATTATGTTGTAAATAATAGAAGTCATGTTTGTGCACTGTTGACAGTCTTGTAAGAAAATGTTCCTTTTTCAGATATGAAGGACGACATATTTCAGCAACATTTGAAAGAAAAGGGCAACAAGTAATCCATTGTCTTGAGATGGTGCCTTAAATTTAATCTTGGCAGATAGAGTGTAATAGAAACTGTTAATGTGCTACCAAAGAGTTTGCAGAGACTAGAATTAACACTAGTAAATATTTTTTTTGATTTAACAAGTTTTTACATATAAAAGGGACAACTAAATCATGAGGAAAGTAACAACTCCTTTTAGGTGTATTAAGTGATTGTTTCCACCGTAAACGTACGGCTAAGCTACCAGTTTATGAAGTGTATCCATTCATTTTCCTCTTAGAATGATGTGCAGAGCCATTTTTTCTTCATGTTTATAAAATTATTTTGTCACCAGATAATTTACAAAACACTTTGATGATCATTTTTATTTATATATGCATGAATTGAAATGAAAAGGTAACATCATGGAGCTTCTATTTTAATTTAAAATATTGTATAATGCGGTGAACTTCATAAGCTGGTAGTTAAGTTGAATGTTTATTGGTCACCATTATTTTTCTCTGTAGATAATATTCCAGACTGACAGTTTACAAAACATTACATTGGCTTTAGGACTTACAGTAAAGAAGGTGGTTGTGTGCATATGAAGGCGAGATGTCATTTCAGTCAGTCAACAGGAGCCAAAGCATTTTTTTTTACAAGATTCTGTGTCTTTACACTTTCAGGAAATACTTGAAATCAGCGTCCAGCATGATTTTTTTGTGGCCATGCAGGTCACCGAAGGAAGAGCGGGGAAAATTAAAGCTTGTTGCACATTTCTTATGTCAAATATTTCAAAAGAATTAAAGATTTGTTAGTTTTTTTCTTAAGTCTGACTGTTTGTGCTGCTGTTTCTGAGTCTCAACCTAAAATATACAATGAGTAGTCAGACATATATTGGGATTTCATATAAGAATTCAAGTCAAAGTAAAACATATTTGTAAAACTAAAGCAAAATAGTGCATGATTTAAAAAAAAAAAAAAAACCTGGAAACTATGATTTGCATTTATTTTCAACCTCCCAGAATCAACACAGTAAGTATTTGAAGATATGTTTCTACCAGCTTTGCACATCTACAGACTATAATTTTTGTTCATTCTTTACAAAATATATCAACCTTGTTTAGGATTTAGGTCTTGGCTTTGACAAGGCCAGTCTGACACAGATATGCTCTGATCAAAACCACTTCCCTTGTAGCTGTGGCTCGGTGTTCAGAGTAGATTTCCTGCTGGTAGGAGAAGCTCCGCTCCAGTTTCAAATCTTTTGCAGCATCTAACTTTATATTTTATAACCTCCATCTTTCCATGAACTTTGACCAGCTTCTGATAATTGTTGATGCCACCAATCTTAATCACCACGCAGTTTTGACCAAAAGTTTGGCCTTAAAGTTTCAGTATTCCTAGACTGTCAGTTAAACTCGGTGGCTATTTTGTGGAAGGTTTGCACTTGTGCTATTCTTATAATTTATTTAATGATGGATTGTGCAATGCTGTCGGCCTTCATATTACACACAGGTGACCTCTGTTGGTTTATTCGAGAAGGCAACTGGTTGCAGTTTTTTAAGGGCTTAAGACTTTTGTTTTGTAAAAAAATAAAGTATACTCTTCGTTTGCATTTGTGCACCACTCTGTGTTGATTCACCACGTGAAATCCCAATAAATTGCACTGAAGCTTGTTGATAAAATTTTGAAACGCTAACAGGACGTGAATACTTCTGCAAGCCACTGTAGCTGCATGTGAATAGTTTTGATGACTGTGTTGTGGAGAAGATGTGTGAAAGTGTTTTCTCTTGACCGCTGTGTTAAAGTACAGTTTTCAAAGACTTGATATGCGGAAGTGAAGGTAAGTTGCACCACCTATCTTCTATAGCATACAGATACACACATCGTAATCTGGCCCTTTCTTCCCCTTTGCTGCATCATTTCCTCTAACCAACTCCCCTAGATATGCAAACACTTGTATTTTGTTTCTTCTTTAACTTTCTTGTGTGTATTGTAACTCTCCAGAAAAAGATGATGATTACATTGTGCTGTGCCATCATTGGGATCGTTGGGTTCTCCTATCTCTACAGTTTCTTCTCATAAAAGATTTTGTGCAGGTGAAACATCAGTCTGTGATCATTTTTACTTTTTACATGGTGCTTTGAATGTTTAACCTCTCTTCTTCTGTCTTTGTGTTCTTCCTAGGAATAGAGATCTCCAGGAGAAAACCTTTTTTTTTCCTGTGGTTCTTACCCAGTTTCTGTCATTTAAATTTGTAGATTAAATTTAAGCCACTCTCAAATAAAAAAAACCCACTGCTTTCTTACCCTTTCTCCCTTCCCCTCCGAGTCTCAATTGAATGTCTGTTCTTGCTGTATAAAGTGTTTGAAAACGTGTTATGTGTGGATTTTTCTCAGTCTGCCTCCACTTAGACAGATGGCTCAACATGTGACTGTTAATCTTCACGCATCGCTCTGTTCAGCTTTAGTCCAGCGCCTCCTGGTGGTTCTCTGAACAAATAACCATTGTGAACATTGTATTTATGAAGAAGTGACTGGGAATGTCA